AGAACGTGCACCAGTAAAAAGGGTCTGGCCACCTATGATCCAGTATGACTTCACATCAGACCGAAATACACAAGTGATTTTTGCACAATTTTTCACAACATTGCAATTTGTTTTCCCCCACACAGATTCCGCCCACGTCACGCAACGTCCACGCCGACTGTATGTTGATTAATTATGTGTGGGTTGACTAATCAATTAAATGATTACAGACAAGACTATTAAATTTATATAATTTTAAAGGAACATAACTATTTGGACTGATTCACTGTTTTTGTAGTGATCATGAAGTCAACTCAGAGGAAATGAATTACTGCAACAAACTGGAATTATATCACCCTCAACTTAAAAATCTAAGTACACTCAAAAGAACTGAGTTACTACTCCAACAATTAATTTTTGAGTAAAGTCAAATTAGTGGAAATGAGTGAATCCAACTTTTAGGCAAAATTAAGTTATTTTAACTTCTATTATTAAGAAGTACTGTTAGGTTTTACAGTGGTGAAGTAGTTTCATCAATGTTTGATGTTCACAAGAAAATGACAGTACAGTGGTATATTGGTATATGTCCTGTTTGGATGCGAAAAATTTTGTTTGGTATACAACATTTGTTTGGAATACGACTCGCATGCTAGAACTTGTATGGGTCAAAATGAGTCACGACACCGAGCGCTGACCTTGTTTACCTCTCGAGACAAAGCCAGGACTGCCCACGAGCGTCAGTACGCCAGATGCTACCATTAAGTGAATAACCCTCGCTATAACTTTCTTGTCATTTATTTCATCTAATTGCTATTGTATTTATGTATTTTACTATTAAGCAGTGTTTAAATTATTGCTGTCAAATGATTAAAATTTTTAATCAGATTAATCACAGGGTTGCTGTGGATTAATTTCAATTAATCACTATTAAATATCATTCATTTTTAATCTATATTAATCACATTTCATTTTGCATGAGCAAACAGACTCAAGAAAAAAAGGAATATATATGCACTTAACATGTTTATTGAACCTCTTGAACACGAGTCGGATGCATTCCATCTGCCACAGAAGTGCAATACCATGGACCCATATCAAAAAAAAAGATTTTTTGCTTAGCCGGATAACTTGTCGGATTTAATTAAGGTACCTCAGTTCAAATGGTCTTTATCTTCGTTCACTTACAATTAGCCCGAAGTACCGTAAATCCGACAAATAATCCGACTAATCATGAAATCCAATTTTAACCCAGTTAATTGCCATTGTTAGCAATATCAGTTTATAAAACATTACGCGAGGTGCCTTACGTATAAAACTCCGTAGCAACACGTTCACAAATAAGTTGGACGGTATAGTGTGTTCGACCGATATAATGAGCCACAAATGAGAAGTAGTGCTTAAACAGTATAAAACTACAACTTTCCCTTATGTTGATAAAAGACGCAGCCATCTTGGATTCTGAACTCGGGATTCTCTGTGCTGCTCTAAGATATTTCTCAGATCTCCGAGAAACGGGAGCGTGCATCTCGTCACTTCCAGCTTCAATACTCAGAATCCGACTCAGAATACGAGTTACGAGGGCAAATGGAACTGCTCGAAATGGGTTGACAGAGACATTTCAGGGATTTTGAATCATTCTGCACTGCAGATGGGTTAATTGCGTTAAAATTTTTAATCAGATTAATCATGATGATGGATTAATCTGCGTTAACCCGTTAATTTTGACAGCCCTTCTTTAAATTATTTTATACAATCACATCAATGTATAATATACCAATAACAATAGCATTTTTTTTCATTGGAACATATTAATTGCTTTCCCTTTATTTTTTATGGGAAAAATTCGTTTGGTATACGTCCTGTTTGGTATAAGTCCAATGATCTGGAACGGATTAAGGATGTATACTGAGATACCACTGTATAATCAAATGGCACTGTATAAACCCAATAGGTACTCTACTGTGCAAAGGTCTTAGTCAGTTAAAGAAAATGATGTTTAAATGATCTTCCTTTTTGTGTAAAACTGGTGATATTATGTCTGTCTGTGTTTGACTTAAACTCCACATACCTAGAGATGTAACCCAGTATCCTATTGGCCTTTTTAATTGCTTCCCCAGACTGTCAAGTGTGGGACATGGAAGCATCAACATATACACCGAGGTCTTTCTCATAGTCAGCTACCTTTATTTCAGTGCAAGCCAAAAAGTATTTCATATTTCTGCTCCCTGCATGGATTACCTTACATTTGTCTACATTAAATTTCATCTACCAGGTACTGTATCAGCCCAATCACTGATTAAATCAAGATCCTGCTGTAGCCTCTCTGCTGCTAGTTCAGTATCTGCTACACCACCCACCTTGGTGTCTTCTGCAAATTTAACCAATTTAATGTATATATTAGTGTCAATATTATTTATGTAGATTATGAATAACAGTGGTCCTAAAACTGAACCCTAGGGTAGCCCAATATGAATGCAGGCCCACTGTGACATTATGCCTCTAATAACTACCCACTGCTTCCTGTCAAGTTTCCTAAAATCCCTGCTGTTTAACCTTAAGCAGGAGCAGTTTGTGGGGGACGACATTGAAGGCCTTCTGGAAATTTAAATATATCGCGTTGTAGGCAATTTTGTGATCAATCTCTCTTGTAGCTTCCTCAAAGAACTCAAATAGATTAGTTAAACAGGGTCTACCTCTTCTAAATCCATAGTTGTTAACCCCCAGAATGTTTTCTGAATCCACATACTCTACCATTTTCACTTGGATTATAGCTTCCGTTACTTTCCCAATTATGCAAGTTAAACTCTTTGGCCTATAGTTTGCTGGATTACTTCTATCCTGGTCCCCATCAGGTAAAGAAACAGGTTTTCATCACATTGTGGGGACATTTGGTCCCCATAAGGTAAGGTATACCCACCCACAGATATACACACACTTCAAATCGTCTAGCAATTTATCCTTTACCTTAATAGAAATTTCAATCTTAAGATGCTACAGTGTCTTTTTTTATTTAAAAAAAAATGTAAAAATCTGTGAAATCTGTAAAAAATCCATCCATACATTTATGTTTAAATGTAAAACATTTCTCATTAATAATTTCCATTTTGTTTAAAAAGCAATAATTCCATCATACCTTAAAGCTTGGCAAAAACCTTGTTCTGTTTTGAATTCAGTCAGATGACACAGAAAAGAATGGTGCTTGCTGATATTAAGTTTTTCATTAATCAGTTTCACATCTTTTTGATTCAGCAGGCGTGAGTACGTAGAAACCTGTAGTGATTTTAGACAATGAATATATATATTTATAAAGAAATTCATAAAACATCAATTATGTGCTTTCAAAGTTAACCAAAACAATTATATTTTTGGGCTTTCAAAATCTACATGATTAGTCTTCATCAATTAAAAATCTTTCAGATATATATAAATATATATATTTTTAATTATTATTATTTTATTAGATTTTTTTCACGTATACATATATGAATGTTTATTACCTGAAGACACATTCCTGAGGAATTCTCTGTCCTCTGTGACTCTACCACATTCAACAGGTTGGTGTGAGTCTGTTTTCTAAAATAGAGGTCAAAGATATCTTCTCGTTTTCCCTTCAGTCTCAAGATAAATTCAGGTGTTGCACTACAAATAAGTTTTTCCTTAGCTTGTTGTAGAATCATCTCTCTCTTTGTAAGATCAATGTCCTCAAATATGTTCTGGGAACACTGTAGTAGAATTGATGCACACATGTCATCTGTGTACCCAATTATGATGTCAAATAGGTTGGCTTTATTTCCATTCTCAGTTACTAACAAGGAAAGCCACTGCCGCAAATCAGAATGCATCTGGTGCCTGGAATCTGTCAGAATTGTTCTCATGTCTAAACAGTGCTTTTCCAGCCGGTTAAGAAGCGGTGCTGGGAATTGCTGATACACTGTGGTTTTGTCTTCAATGACAATCAAACGGAACTGTTCTTTGACACGACACTTTACTCTGTGTGTCCCAAGGCCCAGGTCCACATAGTAACTTCCCCCAAGCTTTACGTAGCACTGATTTAAGGCATCGTAAAGACTTTCATAGAGGCTTTGAATGTTCAACAGTATGACTGGCCTCCCCATTTCCATGCATGTCTTCACTCTGTTCACTGTGAGGCACACCTGGGAGTACTCCTGGTCATGGGGGAAACCAGATCCAAAGATGATTTCAATGTCGTCCTCTTTGATGATTTTTTGCATCTGAAGAATAGAAAGTGCCACCTGATTTGTAGTGAGCAACAAAAGGAATCTGGAAGTGAAAGCACATGATGTTGTGTCAAGATTCTCTTTCAGCAGGCAAATGGTGTTGAGAGCCGTTTCTTTCTTTGAGAAATGTTGGTTGAATAATTCAAGAGGGTTTAGTGAGTCTAGGCCTCCAAAATTTCTTTGAATTGCTCTTGCAATGTCCTGACTGGATAGGGCACCTTTTAGTTTGAAATAGGAAACAATGACCTTGATGAGACTGTAGTAGTCCCTTAGCCCAAAAAACTCACTGTGTTTCTCCTGTTTAGTCAGAATCTCAAGGTAAAACTCAATAAGTTTTGGAATCATTCCTTCAATTTCCTTATTGGAACAAATGTCTTTTCCTGTCCTCATCAACTCATCCTTTTCAGGACATGTGCGAAGCACAAGTATACCCCGGTTCATTTTAGCTGGATCCAATGACCAATTTGAAATGCCGATAAATCCAACTTTCTTAAAGTCTTCAGGAATGTCGTCATCAACACACCCATCTTCCAGAAGAGGATGCAATGTCTTCAGTGGCATTTTTGATGAATCTTCTGCTAATCCAATCTCATCAAGTACAACCACTGAAACATACTCTTCCAGATTCTGGCCTTTCTGAAACTTGGCACACTGGCGGAAAGTGGAGATGATTCCTTCCGGTGTAGAGTGAGGGCTGCACTGAAAGGAAACTAGCTGCACTTGCTTGTAGCTTTTGAAAAGGGCACTTTGTGAGGACTTTCCCTGCATTGAATCTGCAGCAATGGTCTTAGAAAGGGATTTGGAACTCCCAGGTTTTCCAACAATGAACAAGGGCACCCTTAGATTCATGCATACAATCATCATGAACACATTTTCTTTTAATGCATCATTTCTAGCTATTGAATCTGGACATTCAACTTGATCAGTAAAAACCTCCTGACACAGATTTATCTCTTCAGAAAAGTCAGTGGCATTGATGGATAGCTCCTTAGCTATGCTGTCCCTGTATGCTTCCCGGTTTTTCAGGGAGGCATGATAACAAACTCCAACAGCAAGTATTAATGACCTGATTACATAGTCATTAATTTTCTTTGCATCTTGTTTTTTCATGTCAATTAGGGGAAAAAGAAGGTCTCTTTGTTGGTAAAACCACATCACCATTTTCATGCACCTCTCTATGTCTCTAAGGCTGACCATTCTGCATTCATCAGTACACTGTGCCATGTGTCTCTGGGAGGCAGAGATCACCTTAATGAACGTTTCCTCATGTTCTGTAGAAAATCTTTGCTTTTTGAAAAATGTCTTCACCATCTGGATGATATACAGCTTCTGTGTGTCATCATTTAGCTGTCCAAAGTCCCACACCAGTGGAGAGATGCTAGGTGGTAGAGGCTGAACTCTGTATACTAAATGCCTCATGGGGATCTGGCCCAATTTTTCCTCAGTATTTTTCGAATGAACTCTGTATCCCAAGCCAGCTCTCTCAAGCTGCTCTATCACTTCTTCAGTGTGCTTTCTGTAGGGATTGCAGGCAGCTACAACCCTTAGTCGAGGTGAGCCAATCTGTTCCCCATTTACCGTCTTGTCACAGATTACTTCTTTAATTGCATAAATAGCTTCTGTGGTGTTGGCTTCATCAAAAAATAATACAGTGTCCATGTCTTGAGCTTCATTTTCTTTTGCTTTATCAATGGCGTCCTTCACCTTTTTATAAATGGTCTCAGATGTTGTTCCTCCATGCACACGGACCACAATCATGTTTTCTCCTTGCTTTCCAGACTTAAGCATTTCACACAGGAACTGCACTAATCGAGTTTTCCCACATCCAGTTTCACCCATAATGATGACTGGAATTTGACACTGGAACCGCAAGTGAATAGCAAAGATTTTTAGGACATTGTCCAGTGTTAACTGATAGGTTTCATCTGGGTCTCTGATATTATGACTTGAAACTCCCAAGACTCCTCCTAAAATATTTAGCTGTTCTTGACGTGAGAGTGTTTCAAATTGCACATTGAAAGGCACACCTTGCCCTTTTAACTGGCCATAGAGTTGCCTGGTGATCACATTTTCCATTATGATATTCTTAGTTCGGAACTCAACAGCATTGAGGTTATCAATATAGAATCCTAGAAATGTCATAGATTGATTGTCTGCATTAAACAAAATATAGGGATGAGGTTCATTCTCCCATTGTCTCCTCAGCTGGAATTCATTCAGAACGTCTGCATTTTTAGAGTCATTACTTTCATCAGAAATCTTTATCGATCGCATGGAGAAGTCCTTCGCCATTGTAATCATGAACTTTAACACAAAGTTTTTGAAGCCAGTAAGGTCATTCTGTAGATAATCACTACAGAACACAGATCCCTCACATTTTGTCAGCTGTGCACTTAGGAAGTGTGTGAAATTCCACAGCTCCGCCCAGGATGGATTTTTCACGGCGCAATGGTGTAATAGACATTGTAACCATTCTTTTTGTGAATCCTCACTCTTTCCTGGCACAAATTTAAATTTCTGAAGATCAACACTTTGGTGTCTTTTTAGGTACTGGTATGTTCTCTGAGACTCTTCACTCTCTAACTCTCCTTTATCCATGAGTTGGATCTCTTGCCTTGCTTCACAATAGTTTTCCAACTGTGTTAGAGTGTCCTTGGGTGATAGACACATCACAGTTGGTAACAGTTTAAGAAGATTTTCCTCTGTTTCAGTTGAAATCTGCAAATAAAAACACTTGACAGTTAGTCTGATGGTGATCACACACTCTATTTTTAGATATTGAAACAAATTAAAATCCATCCATTGCCCAGCCCACTTATCCAACTGGGTTGTGGGGGGTCTAGAGCCTATCCTGGAAGCAATGGGCATGAGGCAGGGAACAACCCTGGACAGGGAGCCAGTCCATTGCAGGGCACACTCACACACCATTCACTCATACATGCATACCCATGGGCAATTTAGGAACTCTAATCAGCTGCAGCATGTCTTTGGACTGTGGGGGGAAACTGGAGTACCTGGAGGAAACCCCATGACAACATGAGGAGAACATGCAGACTCCACACACATGTGACCCAGGCAGAGACTTGAAACCAGGTCCCAGAGGTGTGAGGCAACAGTGCTAACCACTGCACCACCATGTCACCCCCACACGCTAAAACAATTTTATGAAATGTTTAAATCATAATCAATTATTTAAAACTCCATCTTGTGATATCATTTGTACATTGTAAAAAAATCCCATTGTTTTTACAGAAAAAAACTGGAAGCTGTGCTTGGCAGAATAATTCTGTTAAAAATACGGCAAAACTGTAATCATCATTATAGAACAATGTGTAAACTTAACAGTATAAAAATGTATAAAAATTTGTTTAAAACACTAAATTCAACACTGTATTTATGCTGAATTAGCACAACGATTATACTATTAAACCAATTCTTTCAGGAAGATTTAGATCCAGTAATCACTTTTTGTACATCGAATCCGATTCAGTTTCACTGAAAAATACAAAACATGAGTGAAGTGAAAATTTTTCATTTTTGACACAACAATGAAATGTGTTCTCTGCATTTAACATAGCAGCAAGCAGCTATTATGTGGGACCCAAGGAGCCCTGTGGGGGAATGGTGCTATGGTCAGGGTACCATAATGGTATCTTTCTCGTTGATTTAAACCAGCAACCTTCCCATCACAAACACGACTTAACCATTAGGCCACAACAGCCATTATGGAGCAAAGCCTCATTATAAGACTGTCATTTAACTGATTTATCTTCGGTAAAATCCCTTCAAACATTGTTTATAATATATGGAGCCCCGGATGGGACATGGAGGAAAAAAAAATTGGTGGTTGAAAAAAAAAAAAAACATGCAATTTTGCAAGATCTTGCAAAGGTTTTGTTGAAATGAAACCTTGGTCTGGATTTGTACTTTCCGGACCTGAACTTCACACCACTGTCTGTAATAGATTACTTTTGCGAGTAACTACCCTAATACTGCGCATATAGTTAGGCGAATGTGCGCCAGATCTTTGGCCTGTTGTGAATTAACTGGGATTTACTGGCATTGTCCATATGTAAAATTACAGTATTTAGATGTTGCTGTCTCTGTAAGAAATCATTAATGCATCAAAACATTACATTATAAACAACCTTTGACAGGGATTTATGGGGGAAAAAATCAGTTAAAGTCTTATACTGAGGCCTTTGGTGCTAAGTAATGGCAGTGGTGGGCTAATGGTTAGGGAAGTGTGCTTGAGGTTGGAAGGCTTCTGGTTAAAAATCCCTGACTTAGAAGGTATTCCTAAGGTACCATAAGCACAGAATCATGCATATCACTGCTCCCTGCATACTGTGTCACATACAGGTAAAAGCAGAGGACATATTTTGTAATTATGATTTTGCTGTATTTTACACAGAATTATTCATGCAACCACAGCTGCCAGTTTTTTTCCTATTAAAAACAACAGGATTTTTTCACAGTATATAATAACTGATTGTGGTTTTTGTCCTCTGTGCTGCAGAGGACTGGTCTGGCCCCCCATCTTGACCCCGACAGCATAGCTAGATGGATGGATGGATGCATGTATGAACTGATGTGATTTTTCTGGCACTTCATTTGATATTATTGAAAAAGCACGGTAAAAAAGTAATATTTCAATTTATGATTTAAAAGAAAGATCTGTCACATTTAGGTTGAAAGTTACGGCACAGTAAGATATAAATCAAATATGCTTTATATGCAATATATTAAGCGGTTTGGAAACTGGATGGATTGTTGGATGCAATATATTGTACATTGTCTTTATATCACCATTGGTGGGCACAGCCCTTGATAACAACAACTTTATTTCCATAAAACTAAACCAATAAACCACTAAGAAATTTAGCAGAAACTAACTGATCCACTAATGTTTTTCAAAGTTAGTGATAATGCAAATCCTGTGACAAAAAAAAAGTAGTTTCTACTTAGCAGTTTAGCGGAGCCACACACAGGCCATTTTGCAGATTTTTTTACAACATTTACAAGGAATTTGAATTGCTCAAATCAGTTAACAGTTAAGTTATAGCAGAAATCACTTAGAAAAAGAAAAAACAATATGGTCTTTTACATATGTTATATTCAAATTTTTGTACAATTCGTATTTGTAGAAAAAAATCACACATATGTTGCTTATTAAGATAATATGTACCAGCATT